GGATTTCACCATGCTGCAAACATCGACTATACTGAGACATTTAGTCCCATTATTAAACCCATTACAATTCGTATTTTGTTTACCATTGCCTTAACAAATAAATGGGTGTTTCACCAAGTTGATATAAATAATGCTTTCTTACATGGTGTACTTTTTCACTTAAGGATCTTGGTCAACTGAGTTTTTTTCTAGGGATTGAAGTTTCATATCCTTCCTCTGGTGGCATGTTCCTCTCCCAATTAAAATACATTACAGATTTGCCACACAAATTGAAAATGCATGAAGCAAATTCTTTGCCGACTCCTATGGTCAGCGGCTCTGTTATATAAGCTTTTCATGGTGATTCTTTTCTTGATGTACGTCTGTCGCAATGTCATCGAGACGCGGAGCTACCGACGTCATCCCCTGAAGGGTTTCTTTCGAGATAAGGGTTTGGAGTCGCCACTAATCATCTACGATGTGATTGGTCACCTATTTAAAAACTTGGTCTGCGAAAATAAATTTTTGGTTCGGGAGTCGAGCGTAGGGAATGTGTTAGCACCCTACGACACCCGTTCAAAAACGGTACCACATTTTATCATAAATTATCCTATAAATGTCCCATATTATATTAATTCACATTTTGTAATAAGATATGAATTAATAGGTATGAGTGGCACGAAGGCCATTAGAAAAATTTTGACAGGTGAATATTGGAAGGTTCCAATTCCTTTCATTGGAGTTTTTAAAATAATTATTTAGCAAAAAAAAAATGAATAAATAATTTTAATTTAAGAAACATTAAGACTTAAACTTACAACATGATTGATGACATTCTAACATCTCACCAACGTGCCAACACTTTAGGATATAAGCTATGATCCCTTTTAAAATACAAATTTTGTATTTTTGAATTTTGTTTTAAAAAAAAATCTAAGCGAAATCTTTTATTTAAAATAATTATTTAGTAAAAACAAATGACAACAATGAGAGATTCAAAGATTCAAACTTAGGTCTTATACATTAAGAATCAAACATCTTGCCACTATGTCAATATCCTAAGATGTAAACATAATATTCTTTTAAAAAATAAAGTTTTTTAATTTATTTTTAAAAAATAAAAAAAAACGAATTTTATTAAATTAAAACAAAAATTTTATTTAATTTGAAATTAAAGAGATTTTTGAAAGAAAACTTTATTTCTTAATTTAAGAAAATGTTTTATTTAAAACAGATTTTATTTGTTGAGATTCCCCAAAGAATAATTAAAAAACTTGTTTAAAAAGATTTCAATCATGTATTTTTAAAAACAAAAAGATTATCTTCAAATCTTTTTACTTTTTAGAAAATTCTGCTTTTATTTTGAAACGTTTTATTTCACAACAAGCCTTTAAAAAAACAAATAAATAAATAAATAAAATCTTTTATTAAAAAGAAGTATCCTGTATTTCACTGTAYCATTGGGTTTTGCCACTAGAAGCAAGCCTACCATCCGCAAAGCACACTGCCTCCTTTAGGAAAGAAAAGAATGATTGAGATCGATCGACCGACCAAACACGGTGACGTTACGTAGCTATCCCGCATATAGAATTTTCCA